ATATAATTATAATATTATATTATATGATAATATAATAATATTAGAGTTATTAATATAATTATGATATTATTTGTTACAATATTATTATATTATATTATATTACGAGTTTGAATTTTAAATTGAGAAGATTGTAAATTTTAAATTTCATTTTGGGTATTATAAAAGTTTCATTAATTGTACTATGTTGATTCCTACAAAATCTAAAAACTAAAGTTGACTTTAGGTTGCTTTTAATTTTGACTATAGATTCTTGAAAAAATTTTCAAAAAGTACTTTTGAATAGATTTACCAAGCACTAAAATTAGCTTCTGCTACAAGCAGAAGCTGATTTTAGAAGAAAAAAATAATACCAAACTAAGCCTAAGTTAGAGAGAGAGAGAGAGAGTAAAAGAGAGAGAGAGATGTTACCTTAGGCAAAACATGTTTAGTAATATTAATTTATAACCAACTCCAATAGCCTAATTCAGCAAAGACAGATTATGGAACCGATCTCGGTAGATTTCACTCGAGCTTACTTCATAAAGGAGAAAAAACCACATGACATTAGTGTCAGTGAGACCTGAAAAACCATTTCAGAATCCAACAAAAACCTCTCGCCACGCTAGAGGACCATCGCACATTTTTCTTTTCCAACAGCTGCCACATCCGCTGTAAGAGAAAACCGTTAAAACTTAAAAAGGCATATATAATGCACGCTTATTACAAAAGTCGATAGTTCTACACAAGACACAAGAGAACCCGCTGCGGGGCACGAAATGCTAGCCCCACAATCGACGAATGGCCCTGATGATGGCTGCACAAAAGGTTAAAAGACAAGTCCCAGCCAGGATAGACGAGAAAAAAGGACCACTTCCCACATCATGTCCCTCCCTATTGTTCTAATCACAAGGATACTAAATGCAACTTTGAAAAGGATTCCCACAAAGACATCTCAAAATAGCGAAGCTCAGTGGACCATAAGTTATAGGTTACACTCAGTGCCATTTGAAGTTGAGTGCACATTTCTCATGAATAGAATAGGATAAACCCTAATTCTCTCCTCCAAAAGATCACATGATTGACGTTCCCTTCTCACTGTAACTCTTTTATTCATGTGCATACCTTCTCTCTTAACTTCCCATAGCACTACTTTCACTTCCTGAGTGGGAAATCCATCCTTATGTCCACACTTGGAAATTATGTTACTGTTTCAAGTCAGACAGCTCAATCATCTTTTATTCTGGGAAATTAGGAATGAAGCCTCGATCTATGACAGGAGGATGGAAGAGACCTACAAGATAAGATTTGTGACTACCCACTTGAAGCAGAAGTTGAGTGTGTCATGAACACAGGGAGCCAGCAAAAGAAGCATTTGATAGATTTGAAACAACTCCTGTATTATCAAAGTAGCGGAGATCGGTCACCTACTCCATTTCTTGAGCAAATAATGTATGCAAGCTGCTAGTGGAAATGCAATTGAAGTGAAGAAGATGAAGCCACAAAAAAATATATGTATACATATATTTATTGCATAGATTTTGACCCAAATTATGTTTTCCATTTTGATTATATAATTTTTGCTGATTTGTAATTAAAATTGAATTCTTTTATGCGTTTAGATTTTGGTACATTAGAATTATTTTTTTTTATTAGGCTTTAGTAACTTCTCTTTGGATAAAGGAGATGTCTTTGTTGCCCAAGGCCAAGGACTTGAGGCTCTATAAAGATGCAATTTATTCGAGGGTTTTACGTTATGAGAAATGAGAATTGACGAGAAGATCGCGGGGCATGTAGAAACGTGAGGAATAGGTGAAAAGCACTGGCGATAGCTGAAGTCCCTAGCTTTGTGGGCTCACTTTTTTTTTTTTTTTGCTCTGACTCGAGTCTCATACCTTGTAAGTTTCTATATACATAATGTTGGACCTTGATTGTCATCCTAACATAATGACAAAAGACGATTTGAAAAGCTAAGAAAACAAGTAGTGGAAGAAGTTTTACCACATGGGAATCAATTTGCCCCACTTGAGTACTCTTGGCATCATAATTTCGCTTCTTTTCCACTTGAATGGACAAGCCTTTGAAATTTTGTTGATAATTCTTGATAAGACAGAGTTGCCGATGGCTGCACTTTTGTAATAGAAGTCCTCAGATGTTGCATTGTTATTTCTGAGGCATGAAGATTCTCCTGGTAGCATAAAAATCACAAATCAGTAAGAAATGCAAAAACAAAAAACAAAACAAAAACAAAAACAAAACAAAAGAACAAAAACAAAAACAAGAGAGAAAGAGTAAGCAAATGGCAAACTAAACCAAACTGACCGCCATAGCTTTCAAAGCTGCTTCCCGGCAGATAGATGCTATATCAGCTCCTGTAAAGCCTTCAGTAAGAGAAGAAAGATCCTTTATGCTAACATCAGAACTACACGGAATTTTGCGTAAATGAATACGGAATATATCTTCCCGATCACTCTCATTTGGAGGTCCCACGTATAGCAGTCGGTCAAAACGACCTGTCCATGAAATTAATCAATTATTAGTGTTGTCAGTTCCGATGGGAGGCGGAAAGATGACGACAACAACGCAACTGAGTGTGGATGATTGATTATTAGGATACTAGTGGGTGGAGTTGGTGTATAAGTCTAATCACATACATGTAGGCGCATTGTTACCACAGGCAAACTGTGGCATTTTATTAGAGATGAACAGTAAGAAAGAGATAAGAGTGTTATAACCTGGTCTAAGTAGAGCAGGATCCATCTTGTCAGGTCGATTCGTTGCAGCAATAACAGTAACATTAAGTCTTTGATGTAAACCTGAAGCAAACAAAATCCTTTTGTCAAACGAAAATTTAAATAACTAGAGGTAATTTTCAACCATGAAGCACATTATATGTAAATGTTTCTCCAGCTTAAATTGCTGGGAAAATTCCGCAACGTAGACTGACGAGCATAACAAATTATAAATTTGTTACGAACCATCCAATTCAACAAGGAGTTGACTCATAACCCTATCAGACACTGAAACCCCTTCATTTTCCTTCCCACGTACAGTAGCAAGACCATCAATTTCATCAAAAAATATGATGGATGGGGCATTGGCCCTTGCCTTCGCAAACAGAGATCTAACAGCCTTCTCAGATTCACCAACCCATTTACTGAAAAGTTCTGGACCCTTGACAGCAAGGAAATTCAGTCCTGCTTCAGAAGCTACTGCACGTGCCATTAGAGTTTTGCTGCATCCAGGAGGACCGAACATCAAAACACCTGTAGGGGGCTGGGTCCCTATACGCTTGAATGCATCCTGGTGCTTTTGTGGCCATTCTACAGCTTCCATTAATTGATTCTTAACCTCCCTTTGGCCCCCAACATCTTCCCAACGAACCTTTGGAACCTCGAGTATTACCTAGAAGTATGTAAAACAAAAGCATGGAAACAGGTAATCAAAAAAACAAAAGCATGGAAACAGGTAATCAAACAACCATATTCTTCCTTCAACAATCTAGCTCAAAATTTCTCCTTGGATGACAGTTTATAATATGAGCTTACAAAAGTTGTTTCTTTCAGGAAGAAAGAGAATTGTAGCATATGAAACACTGAAAGAAACAATACGACGCAACATAAATTCACATTGATGTACTAAGGGGCGTAGTCTAAGATGGATCAATATCATTTGTGGTAATAGGAAGCTTTTCCATCGTCTTGTAGGTTTGTAGATAAAGGCAAAATGGATAACTGCTAACGCATAGGAAGTCTCTTTGTTGTTGTCAGATGTTACATTAAATAAGCTTAATTAGGATAACGGACCTAGCTACAATAACATGAAACAGCCACACTTCATTCCCAAAGAAGGAATATTTAGCATACCTCTCGCATAGCACTGGGCCTTACTTTCATTTTGGCCTTCTCGAAATCTTCAAAAGACACTTTCAATAAAAATTCATCTTTAACACAATGCTGAACCTCGTGTATGTTGTCATCTGATACTGTTCCCTTTGATATGGATGAAGATGCAGAATCTAAGTAATCAATTACATTGTATCCTGTATCTTTTGAGCAATCAGATTTCACTACGTCACAATCTTCATATGGAATACACTTTCCATGCAAATTATCATATGAATTTCTTGATTTGGCATAACGTCTAAGACAAACCAAGGCTGCCTCATTGCATAGAGCAGCTAGGTCAGCACCTACAAAACCATGTGTAGCAATAGCAAGGTTTTCCACTTGGACGTCTAAAAGTGAGTGCTCCATGTCACCCAGAAGAGAAAGCAAGATCTCCAACCGCTGCTTCGGAGATGGCACACCTGCAAACCAATTTTCAAACCAAGATAAACAAAGAAAAAAGTCACACCCATTCTAGATTTATAAATGAAACAAACTTCGATATATTGCATTTTCTGATCTTCTCAAGTGAGGTGTCTAAAGCATAAAAGCCACAATTTGACAGCGTTATATAGTATGGACTTCAAATCAGAATGGGAAATAATGGGAAATGTTAAGTAGAAAGACTCCGAAAGGTTCCTTAGGAAAGAGGCAGGTTATAGACAGCTTCATCTTGGGAATCTAAGAATATATCCCTTTTTTCACCCTGTTCCATTTTAGGAATATGGAGTTTTCCTATTTGTCTTGCTGGAGGAAATCTTGTCCTCTGTTTTGAGATTTTGTATTCTTTAATCTTTAGTTCTTCATAAATGAATAAATTTGATACCTATTTCAATTTCCCTATCAAGTCTTCCAGGTCGTCTGAGAGCAGGCTCAATACTATCAAGCCTATTGGTAGCAGCAATTACAAGTATCCCATCACTTCTACTAACCCCATCCATCAAATTCAACAGTGTAGCAACCATTCTTTGAGATAGTTCTTCTCCTCCGTCTTTCCTTGCCGGTGCTATGGCATCCAACTCGTCAATGAATACCTGCAAACTAAACCTATTACTAAACAATGCATTAGAAAGAGGAAGATTTAGTTAGTAAGAATAAACCATTGAACTTTGGTCAGATAAAAGTCATCTTGGATATCATAAGGATAACTTCCCTAGTTCCTATGACATATTTTAGCTTGCATCTATGCCACCCATATAAACATTGAGATTTACAATTTATAAGACAGATTGAAGACAAGTTTCAGATGGTTTTCGACATTAGACTCACTGGTCTCAATTTGAGGTGCTTTTATACTCACAAAAAACTCTGGAATTTGATGAAGTTCACCATCCTTTGACTCCACTGAAATCATTTATGCTAAACATAGAGGTGACAATAATCCTAGAATAGAAGGCATAAATGTAGTATGTACAGAGAAGGAAGTCTAACCACAGCTGGTGCAGCTTGGCGAGCGGATTCAAACAATTCATGCAAAGCTCGCTCACTTTCTCCATAATATTGACTTACGAGCTCAGGTCCATTTACAGAGAAGATAATAACACCAGCATCACGAACGCATAATCGAGCCAAAGAAGTCTTTCCAGTGCCCGGAGGACCATGAAGAAGCACTCCCTTTGTAGTTCGTAAACCAAGACTAAATAGTTACATCAATGATCAACATGAATGTTAACTATAATAATCAATACAACATTCAAACATGATTACAATGATATGAAGGATGATAATAAATTCAGGAAACAACAGGAACCATACGCGCCCAACATGTAGACTGTATTAGTTCCTATACCTCCTAAAAGAAGACAATTGATTACTCATATGATCATCTTCCAACACGTAGTGGAAGGAAAATTGAAGATTTCCGTTCTTTAAAATGTAAAGAGTGAAAGTTAAGCTATTTGAATATATAATTAAATCTATATAGTTCATCTTCTTCAAGCATGTCTTTCCTAGAACTCCCACTATATTGTTACCTTGGTTATGCTTTCAGTAAGAAAGTAAAATCAGTTAGAATATAAGTTTCTTTAGTGTTTCAATCATTATCTTGTCTTAGGGCTGGGAAATAAAACCTTATATGGCAAACCACACTTCTCATATATCCAATGGATGGAAGATTTTTGTTTCAAATGAAAATTCTGATAATTTCATGACAACATTTTACACAATTTGAACTCTAAGAATCCAAGTTAGAATTTCAGTAGTAAAAAATGTAGGCCATGTTTCAAAATGCAACTATGTATAATCTAAACATACCTTGATAAAGTATTTACTGAAGAGGAAACTATGATATCCTTCAAAATTGCATATTCTTTAGAAAGACCACCCAATTTTATGTTATTATCTCTGGAATCAGCTTTAACATCCATAAATTCGAAGTCAACTGTAGACAAAACTTGTCTCTCTGGAGTTTTTGACGCCACTTTTGACGGTAAAGATAAGCATACTTTTGTTTCATTCACCACGATAAAAGCATCAATTGAATTTTGTAATGATTCAGAAGCCTTGTGTAGCAGATTATTGCTGCTTTCACTGGTCGAACCATAGTCAGTTCTATCTGCCAACAACTTTTTAGCGCCAACCACTTGGAAGAGACAAAGCTGTGAAAGTACCGGTATGGTAACAAGATTTCCTCGAAGTAGGCAGCGAGAATTAAAAAAAGGAGCAGCTCGTGCCTCAATAAGCCTTTTAGTAACACCTTGTTCCCCTAATAACTTCATGATGTCAAATGTATCAAAAGACGGACCATTTGAGTTGGTTAAGTTCGCCTTAGAATCATCACATCTAGGTGAAGTTAACTGATTTATAACTGAAGAGCCAACCTTTATCTGATTCATTGGTGTCTTAGGGGATAAAGGTCCAACCACTCCACTTTCGGAACAATCAAAAGATGTTTCTGAAGACATCGTCACAGAAGCACTGGTTTTGGTTAATTTCCTAGAGTGTACCAGCTCTAAAAATAATTCATCGCAGTTATAAACCAAAAGAGGATTAACCTTGCTGCTACGTGAATTTTCATCTTTAGTTAAATGACTAGGTACTGTCTGACTTTGCGCAGGATATATGAAAACAACCCTACCCAATGTAGGATCTCCCATTGTGTCTGAAAGTCTCGAAGACAACCTCACTCCACTTTTTGCAACCTGGGATGAAGAGAATTTAAATCATATGATTCTAAATTTAGAAAAGATGTGTGGAAAACGTATTTGAAAATTAATAAGAGTTGAAATGTAAACCCCGATTCTTTTGATTCAGAGGCTTGGGATCTCTACAAAAATTTTAGGTAAAATATTAAAATCTAGATCCACAGTCATTCTGAAGTCTGTAACATGAAGTATAGGTAAGTTTTTAACAACATGGATGGGGTAATTCCTTGACGTGTTTGATGACGATTATCATACACGTGTTTCAGCAAAACCCCAAATGGAAGTAAGAAGTGAAACTATTCACATATGTTTCAGCAAACCTAAAATGGAAGTAAGAGTTATTAGTAAAAATAATAATCATGTGTTTCGGCAAACCTCAATTGGAAGTATGAAGTATAGGTGGAAAGCATTTCCATTACATCAGCTGATATTTGTTAGTTCCCTTTTTTATACTAGAAGATCAATTATACTCGGATACAATGGTAGATAACTCCAGGCCATGGAATGAAACCCTGTAGCGTATCTTGATGCTATTTTCTGACCCAAAGAAAATTATGTTAACCAAATTTCTCGCCTATCAATAATGTAATATTATTTAAGGTTACCAAGTGCAACGAATGTATTAAGTCAACAACTAATACTTGAAATAATAATATTTCATAAAGAAGGATGAAATAAATAAATAAATAGTTGAAATCTGATCGAACAAGTGTCTGCTAGTAACCATTCATAAACGAGAATAAATATTACTACGACCTTTACTCACCAAAGAGAGAGGGAAAAAAATAATAAATAGAAACTGAATCTGATACCTCAATAAACTCAGCCAGAAATGTATGAATTTACTGAAAGGTATAAACGTAAATTATCACACCTGAATGCTATAAATATTATAATGGATAATCTTTTGGTGTTTTTAAAGGTCTCCTAACACTGTTCACATATGTTGCAGTGAAATCAAACAATTTCCATGGCATAGACTCGTAATACTAAACTACGCTGAGAAATAGTAAAGATAATTGTATATCAGACCTTAGAAGAAGACCAAATCGTTGCAAGAGCAAAATAGAGTCCTGCTTCATCATTGAATCGATCAACCAAATGACATCCAAAAGTACTAGCACATTCATTTGCTAATGAGATGAGAGGAAAGCAATGTGAATGTTTACTATCTAACGAAGGGAAAGACACCTGCATAAAGGGATCAGAATGTTATTGCGAAAAGAAGTGACAAATGAAAATGAAGAAAAAGCGAACGAGCAAAACTATTGCATCATATACATTTAACTATTTGTTTACATGACAAAAATATAACAGCTAAAGCTAGTTCTCAGTAGTCAAAAAGAAAAAGCAAGGAGATTGAGATATAAGAAGTGGCAAGAATCAAATGAAAGGCAAAAAGGAAAGGGACGGACATCAAGAGCAAAAGAAAAATGCAACGGAATAAAGTGCTAGAGACAGAAATTCCTCACTGCACCAAGAAAAACACAACTGACTTTGATGTTCCAACAAGAGAAAGCATAATCTTGGCTAAAGCTGCATATAAATGAAAGAAAGAGAGAAAAGGCCAGTGTAGCTGTAACATGAGAAATTAGCAAAAGTCTCCGTACATATATACATATACACACACACACATTTATTTATTAATTTATTTTCCGTTGGTTTCTACATTATACTCCCATCTTAGTGGACATGTAACCTCATAGATACAATACTACTCTAGCGAATCAGCCTCAATAGTATTCTTATTTTTCCAATACAGTGCAGGATTATTCATCAACTATTCTTCCTTTAGGCCGATACAAACTAATTTATTTATAAGTGGGAACTGCAAGACAAAAACAAAATCTGAAAAACAATATACCTTCTATATCTATAAAGCTAAAACGGGCAAATTACCGATGCTAAGGAACCGGGGGCGAACCCAGATGCGACCATGGACGACTCAGATAGCCAAATGTTGTATCCTTTAGACTTAGAAACGTGTTGTTCTATATCAGTGACTTGGCCAATGAAAGCAGTTTTTCCGATCAGGGAAGGATACTTCACTGAAGCTTTTTCCAGGGTGTGCATAAGATTCTCATCACTGGTTTCAGAGTCCAGAGAAGGCGTCAGCGACGGAGTCCGAGGAGATGAATGCTGATCAGAATTCGACACCCTTGACAGTGTCTTTGATTGCTTCTTTGACTTTGAAGGCATCTTTAGAATTAGATTCTGTGGACACATAATAAAAGCAATAGTAATCACTAATCAGAAGAACAAACTATAAGAAAGAACACAACCCAATTCAGAAATCAACCAAAATTAGTCTCAAATCATCTCCTCAGCCTCAGGAAAGAACGATTATAACATAAACGCTCAAATTATCTCCTCCTCAAAGACAAAGACAAGACATTTGGTTTATCCAACACAAAATCAATCCCAAATTCAAACCGAAAAAAAAAAAAATTACAAACAGAAAATGAAATGGAGAAGCTTGGCTTACAGGTGGAAGATGAGATTGAGACTGACGGAACAATAAAGAGCTAAATCACCGTTAGATATTGAGAATAGACCGGAGTCGGACGTCCGGTGAGAGAGGGGCGAGATCGAGAACGAGAGCAAAGCAAATAGGGTTTAGGGTTTTAGGTTTTTTTTTTTTTTTTTTTTCTTTTTTGTATTATTATCTTTCGTTAAAGCTGATGTAAAAATTATGTTTATATTTAAATTTTAAAAAATAGAAAAGAAAAAATTAACATTGGTCTTGAAGTTTACCTCATCGATTTTTGTTCATGAATTAAAATTATAAGATTAAAATTATTTTTTATTTACGTGTATTTTTTATAAGAGAAAATATTATAACGAATTATGAACCATAATTTAAATTGGAGTACGAATCCCCTTACCAAACGTCACAATAGTCTCTTTCTCTGGGACATTTTAAATTTAACCTTAATTGTTTCAGCTTTAATATTTTGCATTAGTTTTTTTTTTTTTTTTTATCTTTTACGTTAATTGAATGTTAAAAGGAGCACAAAATATGAATGATATTTAAAATATGATTTTACATTTTTTTTATAATTGAGTGCATATTATGTGTTTTATTTGCCTCCCGTATCTGCTCTTATACCCGTCTTATTTAAGATTAGGGTCCGGAGAATCCAGGAGGCTTTATCTATAGTTTACCTATTTACATGGCACTAGATGCTTGGAAACGATCATCCTGGAAAGGTTTGATTCAAAGAGATGGGAAATTTAACACCGACGAGATTATAAAATCGAGCCCCAGTTTAAGAAATCCAAGTAGAGATCGGTTTCCACACTAAAATTCCTCTCCGACATTTATGAGAGGTTACATTAGCCCAATTATATGTACAAATTTTCTTGTGATGTTATTAATTTTATTTTTTTAAATATCTGACTTATTAAAAATATCTCTTTTAAAAAAATTATATTCTTTAATTAGTTCTAATCTAAAAGTTATAATTATATGAGTTAATATTCAAAGTAGAAATAAATAGAGATTCTATTTTAATAGGTATTTTTAAAATTGTTTAATTTTTAACGTTACACGTGTAAATAACTGGTGTTACATGAATTCATTGACCTGTTATAAGGCCAAGAGCTTTTTTAAATATATTTCTTTTCTTTACCAAATAAAACTGATACACTTAGACTACGGCTTCATTAATTTCATCTATACTTGGGTGCATTAGAATTTAGAACCGCTCAGTATTTGATCCAACAGTAGACGTTAGTGTGCTGATGAGTAGTCTGGTTTTTTAAAGTGTCCGACTTAAGATCAAACCTGTATTATAAGATTTTTAGGGAATTATTTTTAACAAAATAAGTCTAATAGTGTCAGTTTATAACCGTTAGATATGATTAAAATTATATTAAATTTAAAAATATGTAAAATAGATAATTTTTTATATAAATATAACGATTAAAAATTAAAAAACTACTAATAGTTAATTTTTTTTAATCCTGCTAGAGGTGTTTGTTTCTTTTTGGCACAAAGTGGTAGTCAGGTGTAAAATACTTACATGCCTTACCGATCTAGAGGGAGTAGTTTTGGAGTCGTTTTGGAGTCTTGATCACAAATAAGTTGGTGCTTCTCTTTCATCAAGCTAAGTGCCTAAGCCCATCGTCTAATCAGAGTAGCCTTTTCTCTGTAATCCAATGTATACTTATATATATATATATATATATTATTAATTTACTCACACTCATGGAAAAGCAAGAGTAAGACTTTTTAATTAAAGAAGAGTAGTTGTTGAAAAGACTTGTCGCAATTTCAAAAGTGGGAAGTGTAAAAGAAAGCTTTTTTCATGCTTGGAAGGGCCCTTATGTTTGTATGAAGAGATCATTAAAAATAAAAATAAAAAATCGTAATAGTACTTATGCTTAGTGGAGGCTTGTCAAAATCAAAAAAAGCTCTTATCGCTAGTCAATTTTCAACACCATTACTGCTAATTGTTGATTAATTTGGCAAAATTTTATCTCGTCAGAGAATATGACCCTTGAGCCAATGAATTTAGGGGTACGTAGTAGATTAGAATTAGATTAGATTAGATTAGAATATTCGATTATATATATAAAAGAATGTATTTGTTGGAAAGCAATGCTTGTCTCCAACACTAATAATAATCAATCATCATAAATTCATAATTGATAATTGGGGGGGTTTGAAAGCTGCATTGATCCTCATGTCCTTGAAAGCTCCATTCAACTTATGATGAAACTTTCATTTCATCCTTCAACTTTCTTGAAACCTCCTTTCAATTTTGCCCCTCTCTCTCTAGCATGCATACGCGTTTACTCAGAAATCGGCATATACATATTCCCTACCACTAAGACTCCCCATTAATTTTTTATATATCTGTATGTATATACATGTAGCTGTGTTATATGTAGTGCTGGAACTTTGGACGGGCCGCCCGCGACCGCCCAAAAAACCCGAGGATTTGCCCGAGCCCGAACCCGACCCGCCCGAGATTTTGGGGCCGCCCGCCCGAGCCCGAATTTCACCTTGAACGGGCCGCGGGCTTGTATTCGGCGGCCCGAGCCCGCCCGAATTGCCCGAATTTTTTAAACTTTTTTTTAATATTAAGTTATTTATATATATATTAGTGTTACAATTTATATATATATATTATATTTATATATATATTAAATTTGAAATGAACACACGAACTATATAAAAAAATTATTTCTTTATTAATTTTTAAATTTGTAATTCATGATTGCCTCATTAAAAACCTTACCAAGAAAAACCCAATTGGGATAAAAACTTGGCAAGGAAAAAAGAGTGCAATCATTTTGTGACGAATTACAAATTGTACAAACTTACATTGTTTATTAAATTACAAATACAATGTAAAAAGTAAATACATATTTACAAATTACAAATTTACAATTTAATTTGAAGCTAAGGGATCATCTTCAAAATTAAATGTTAATCGATTAAATTCAT